CTCACTGTTGTGGCCTCTCCCGTTGCGGAGCACAGGCTCCGGACGCGCAGGCTCAGCGGCCGTGACTCACGGGCCCAGCCTCTCCGCGGCATGTGGGATCTTCCCGGCCCGAGGCACGAACCCGTGTCCCCTGCATCGCAGGCGGACTCTCAACCACTGCGCCACCAGGGAAGCCCCAGATATGCTTTTAACTTTTGCACATTCACCTGTGTGTGCATTACAATTACTATGTTTCTGTAGCAGTACTACAGTGGAAATACTGTAACTTATATTGTCTCTATATTTTAGTGTATAGACATATTACCACCTTGTACTTACTAAGGTACAGGTTTATAGACACAGGTCCAGGTATATTGTATGTTATAGGCTGAGAGATTTTCAAGGATAACTTTGATCATAATTTTCCCAGTGACATTAGAACCTAGTTCTCATGTAAAACGTGACTGTTCTGTTTGGGGGTGTTCCCTTGTTGGAGCGTAGTGAGTAAAACTAAACTGAGAGATGGGTTAGAGACTCTGATAATAGCTTAAGGATCTTTAGGAGTTGGAGAGGTGTCTGTTAAGTTCAGAAGCCACTGGGTTGTTCTCTCTTCCGTGTTTCGTAGCTGGTGCTTACAGAGGAGCCTGTACTGGGGGGCAGAGGGTGTTTGTTTTTTTTGAGGATATTCTCTGCCGGCTGTTAACATACTGTTACGTGATAGATCCTAACTCAGAGTTTGACTTTCATCCTGTTTCAAAAATTCCTCTGCCTGTAACTCCTTTACAGGCACATCAAGTTCTAGTTAGGATCAGCTTCCTTTTATCACATCTAAACTATTATTTTGGACTTTTGCTAGATGTTTTTCATCTGAAGACTTTGCATGTGCATTTAATAAAAACGTTACCTAAATTAGGAAAAATGTTATCTGAAATTAAAATGCATCTTACAAAGCAAGCAATTCCTTTTAGCCACGAAAGAAATTAACTTCCAAGAAAAAGTTGGCATTTACAGTAGGTTTTTTTTTTTATAAATTTATTTATTTTATTGTTACTATTTTTTTGGTTGCATCGGGTCTTCGTTGCCGTGCACGGGCTTTTCTCTGGTCGAGGTGAGCGGGGGTTACTCTTCGTTGTGGTGACAGGCTTCTCATTGTGGTGGCTTCTCTTGTTGCGGAGCACGGGCTCTAGGCGTGCGGGCTTCACTAGTTGTGGCTCGAGGGCTCTAGAGTGCAGGCTCAGTAGTTGTGGCGCACGGGCTTAGTTGCTCCGCAGCCTGTGGGATCTTCCCAGACCAGGGCTGGAACCCGCGTCCCCTGCATTGGCAGGCGGATTCTTAACCACTGTGCCACAAGGGAGGCCCTACAGTTGGTTTAAAAAAAACCTCACAAATTTGAGCATGATCATCCTTGACAAAAATCTGTGAATTTGGCGAATTTTATGCACTTGTTAGAAAGCTTAAAAAAAAAAAAAAGGTCAGAAAAAAGAAGTTAATTTTCAGCGTTGTAGCAGTAATTACATTTGACTAAAGTTTATGATAAATGAAATAAAGCAGAGTTTTTGGCAAGTCTTACACCCAGCTATTCATATTTGCTTTGACTATTTGTATTTTGTATTTCTCCAGGAAAGCTTACAGAGCCTTCAGAACAGGGAAACAAGTGCGTTTGCTATTTAAACAAGGATTTCTGATTTGAAGTCAGGCTGCGTCCATGTTGTAGATTTTGGTATGGGTTGAGCTTTGCAAAAATGAAAGCAGAAAGCCTTTCCCAGATAGGTTTTGAACTTTTTGCTTTTTCTCAGTGCTTTGCTTAGTGTTACCTGTAATTCTCCTTTCTCTTTAGAACTCAAAGGTGCACATCCTTGATACTGAAAGCTTTGAAACTACATTTGGCCCTAAAGCACAGAGGAAGCGACCAAATTTATTTGCAAGTGATATGCAGTCACTTATAGAAAATGCAGAAGTGTCCACTGAGAGCTATGACCAGGGGAAGGATCGTGACTTGGTAGCTGAAGACACTGGTGTGAGGTACAGTTTTAAAGTTCACGCATATCTCCTCATTTGCTCTTCTGCAATGGACATCTTCTTTACAGTTGTTTACCTGCAAGAAGCTCGGTGATGTATCTCATAGGTGGAGATCTTCCCTTAGACTAGAAAAATTAGTGAAACTGGTTGGGGCCAGACTAAAGATAATTTAAGGTGGCTTGTTTACTATTGGTCTCTTAATTCCCCCCCAAATAAAAATAAATAACACTTTCTTCATAATAATAACAGTGTATTCTATCATAGACAAATTTTTAAAATATAGTTAAATTGGAAATACAGCAAAAAGAAAATAAGCACTCATAATTCCACTACTTATGTTAAGCATTGTTAATATTTTGGTGAATATCAGGGTTTCCTCTGGACCACTGGGGGTGGGGGGAGTTCACTGATGGCCTTTGAGGTTTCCGTGACCCTCTGAAGATAATATGGAAAATTTATGTACATGCATAAAAGAAGTGGAGTTTTGTTGTTTATAGAGAAAGGGAGGAGAAGAAGGATCCATAACTTTCATCATACTTTCATAGGGGCTCATACCCAAAAGAAGATCAAGGATCAGTTAAGGATATATATGTATATATATACATTATTCTGGATGTTTTTATTTATAAATATAATACTTTAAGACTGTATTTTAACTTGCTTTTATTTTAATATATTTTTCTAAATTATTAAGAATATATTTCCAGGGGCTTCCCTGGTGGTGCAGTGGTTGAGAGTCCGCCTGCCGATGCAGGGGACACGGGTTCGTGCCCCGGTCCGGGAAGATCCCACATGCCGTGGAGCGGCTGGGCCCGTGAGCCATGGCCGCTGAGCCTGTGCATCCAGAGCCTGTGCTCTGCAACGGGAGGGGCCACAACAGTGAGAGGCCCGCATACCGCAAACAAACAAACAAACAAAAAACAAAACAAAAGAAAAATAATATATTTTTTCATGTCAGTTCTTAGTCAACAGTGATATAATGTTTCATGTCAGAGTAGGTTTTTGTTGTGGCCAGTCCCATGGTTAGACATTTATGCTGTTCAGAGGTTTCCCCTATGGTAAACAACTCTAAGGTAAAACATCAATGTGACTAATTCTTTCTCATTCTTAATTGTTCCCCAAAGATAAATTCTTAGGGGAAATGCCGTTGAAGAATATGCAGTTTTTTGATAGGCGGCTGCCTTATTACCCTCCAGAAAGGGTTTACCAGTTTAGTTCTCTTGGTTCTCCCTCACGTGTTCCTGAGGTGCCCTAGCGGAGAGGTGCTGTCCCCTGCCTGCAGTGCCACTGCCTTGGTGCTGTCCTCGGTCCATCGCTAGCCCTGGGCCTCCTAGAGGTAATGTCAAGGCACTCGAGGCCAAGCAAAAAGAGGCAGCGAGTTCATTTATTCTTAGAACTATTTGGACTTGTATGCTTTTGCTGATTTGAATTTTTTCCACCTCCAAAGGGTACAGTCGGCAGTGGAGGAGAAACAAAACTATTCTTGTTCCAGGGACATTGGGTAAATGTCTCTGAGGCTAGTAAATGAGCAGATTCTCAACCTTATCAAGAAAGTTTCACTCTACGTGGGAGCTGTGGAGTGTGGATTATGGTTCAGATTCCTTTTCATAATTCTCTGTGACAGACTGCCTAATTATAGTTGCTTTTTTTAAAATTAAATTTATTGTGGTAAAATATACATAACAAAATTTACCATTTTAATCTTTTTAAGAAATTATTTATTTATTTTTGGCTGTGTTGGGTCTTCGTTGCTGCGCACAGGCTTTCTGTAGTTGCGGCGAGTGAGGGGCTACTCTTCATTGCGGTGCGCAGGCTTCTCATTGCAGTGGCTTCTCTTGTTGCAGAGCACGGACTCTAGGTGTGTGGGCTTCAGTAGTTGTGGCACACGGGCTCAGTAGTTGTGGCTTGCAGGCTTTAGAGCACAGACTCAGTCATTGTGGCTCACAGGCTTAGTTGCTCTGCGGCATGTGGGATCTTCCTGCACCAGGACTCGAACCCGTGTCCCCTGCATTGGCAGGTGGATTGTTAACCACTGCGCCATCAGGGAAGTCCCAGTTTAATCATTTTTAAGCATCCAATTTAGTGGCATTAAGTACATTCACATGGCTATGCAACCATTACCACTATCCACCTCTAGAATTTTTTCACATCATCCCAAACTGAAACTCTGTACCCATCCAGCACTAATTCCCCATTCCCCCCTCTCCTCAGCCCCTGGCAACCACCATTCTGTTCTCTGTCTCTTATGAGTTTGACTTCTCTCTTGAATAGTACTTCACGTAAGTGCACTTGTACAGTATTTGTCCTTTTGTATCTGGCTTATCTCATTAGCATAATGTCTTCAAGGTCATCCATGTTGTATCGTGTATCAGTACTTTATTTGTTTGTATTGCTGAACAGTATTCCATTATGTATACATGACATTTATTTTTATTCATTCATCTGTCAATGGGCATTTGGATATAGTTATTTTTTAAATTAAGTCAGTTTTTGGTCCGTCTACAACTAGTTGGGTTTTTTTTGTTTGTTTTTTTGTTTTTGTTTTTGTTTTGTTTTAATTTTTATTTAAGTATAGTTGCTTTACAATGTTGTATTAGTTTTTGCTGTACAACAAAGTGAATCAGTTATACATATACATATATCTACTCTTTTAGATTTCCATCCCATTTAGGTCACCACAGAGCATTGAGTAGAGTTCCCTGTGCTGTACAGTAGGTTCTCATTAGTTATCTCTTTTTTTTTTTTTTTTTTGCTGTACGCGGGCCTCTCACTGTTGTGGCCTCTCCCGCTGCGGAGCACAGGCTCCGGACGCGCAGGCTCAGCGACCATGGCTCATGGGCCCAGCTGCTCTGCGGCATGTGGGATCTTCTCGGACCGGGGCACGAACCCGCGTCCCCTGCGTCGGCAGGCGGACTCTCGACCGCTGTGCCACCAGGGAAGCCCTAGTTATCTATTTTATACATAGTAGTGTATATATGTCAGTCGCAATCTCCCAATTCATCCTACCCGCCCTTCCCCCCTTGGTAACCATAAGTTTGTTTTCTACTGCTGTGACTCTATTTCTGCTTTGCAAATAAGTTCATCTGTACCATTTTTCTAGATTCCACATATAAATGATATTATACGATATTTGTCTTTCTCTTTCTGACTTACTTCTATATGACAATCTCTAGGTCCATCCACATCTCTGCAAATGGCACTATTTCATTCCTTTTTATGGATGAGTAATATTCCATTCTATATGTGTACCACATCTTCTTTATCCGTTCCTCTGTCAATGAATGTTTAGGTTGCTTCCACGTCCTGGCTATTGTAAATAGTGCTGCAGTGAACATCGGGGTGCACGCATCCTTTCGAATTATGGTTTTCTCTGGATATATGCCTAGGAGTGGGATTGCTGGGTCATATGGTAGCTCTATTTTTAGTTTTTTAAGGGACCTCCATACTGTTCTCCATAGTGGCTGTACCAATCTACATTCCCACCAACGGTGTAGGAGGCTTCTCTTTTCTCCACACCCTCTACAGCATTTATTGTTTATAGATTTTTTGATGATGGCCATTCTGACCGGAGTGAAGTGATACCGCATTGTAGGTTTGTTTTTTTGTTTTTTTTCCTTGCAGTACGCGGGCCTCTCACTGGTGTGGCCTCTCCCGTTGCGGAGCACAGGCTCCTGACGCATAGGCTCAGCAGCCATGGCTCACTGGCCCAGCCGCTCCGTGGCACGTGGAATCTTCCCGGACCAGGGCACGAACCCATATCCCCTGCATCGGCAGGCGGACTCTCAACCACTGCACCACCAGGGAAGCCCCTCATTGTAGTTTTGATTTGCATTTCTCTAATAATTAGTGATGTTGATACTAGTTTTGATACCGCTTTCCCTTGGCACATGGTGTTTTCCCTAAAACATCCTTTTAATCTTTATAGTGCTTCGTTTGCTCACTTTGGGTCTTTTCTTATTTAGAAATGAAGCCCAAGAAGAGATATATAAAAAGGGACAGTCTAAAAGAATATGGGGTGAACTCTACAAGGTAAGACTTTAAATTCTGTCTCACTGAGTGGTTCCTTTGGCTTTCATGATCTTATATGAGAAAACTGACTTGGCTCTATTGAAGCTCTGTCAATACAAATTCCACCTCCAGGATGGATGTGTCCGTGCGCGTACTACCATTGTTCTAGATAACTGCATTTTTTTATTACTCATATAATAGTAACAACCACATTGCATAGATTCACATATTCTCTGTTAATATTTCTTTGGATTACCTGCTAAAATGATATTCCTGTTGAGATTTATTATACATGGTTAGAGCTGCATGAGCATTTTTGAGTTACTTAGTCCAGCCCTCTCATTTTACAGGTGAGAATTCAAGTCTAGAAAGCTTGAATACCTTCCCCAGCTTACCCAGGTAGTTAGTACAAGAGGCTTTGTGTCTCCTGAGTCCCGGTCTAGTTCTCTTCAGCTGGCTGAGTCTTAGGTCTGCACTCAAGTAATATTCTCGGTAACGAAGACTTTCAAGCATAGTCACGTAATTAAATATAACATGATAGGAAACTAGTACCACGAAAGCACACAAAATTTTTTAGTTTTTTTGTAAAATACTCAAAATCTATAACATGGAAGCTTAGAGGTCTAAGAAGTAAATGAGGGACTGCCCTGGTGGTGCAGTGGATAGGACTCTGCACTCCCAGTGCAGGGGGCCTGGGTTCGATCCCTGGTCAGGGAACTAGATCCCACATGCATGCAGCAACTAAGAGTTCGCATGCCACAACTAAGGAGCCTGCTGCAACTAAGGAGCCCTCGAACTGCAGCTAAGACCCAGTGCAACCAAATAAATAAATAAATAAAATATTTTTTTAAAAAAGAAGTAAATGGTTCTGCTCACTAATACATAGCAGTCGTGAAATAGACTGGTTTCATGCAAGCTAGTTCTATTTGGAATTCAACAAGTTTCAGATACTCACAGGATGAAAACAATTTTTTGAGTACTGATCCCTGGGCTTTGAGATTGGCTACCACCTGCTCTCCTCACAAGACTGTTGAGAGGTTATCTCTATTGTTGCTTTATTTTTCCCAGGTTCCCTTAAATGTCTTCTCTCTTTCATTTTGCCCTGTACTTCTGTAGCAAGTCACTTTTGCCTCTTTGAATTTGCAGGTGATAGATTCATCAGATGTTGTAGTTCAAGTTCTTGATGCTAGAGATCCAATGGGTACCCGTTCCCCTCACATTGAGACTTACTTGAAAAAGGAGAAACCTTGGAAACACCTCATTTTTGTTCTTAACAAATGTGACCTTGTTCCAACCTGGGCAACGGTAAGTACAGTTGCTAATGCAGAACAGATGACCAAGGCCACACGGCTTCTGCAGGCTCTGAGTTACCCATGAATAAGTCAGTGTCGTGGTCTCTAGGAGTTGGGGCAGCAGTTAAGGTGTTGCACTATTGAGGGTGTAGTCATTCAAGTGTCCTCATCGAAAACAAAACTAAAATCAGCTTCATTGATGATGGGCCGTTACCTTTTTTTTTTTTTTTAATTCATTTATTTCTGGCTGTGTTGGGTCTTTGTTGCTGCACGCAGGCTTTCTCTAGTTGTGGCGAACAGGGCCTACTCTTTGTTGCAGTGCGCAGGCTTCTCATCACGGTGGCTTCTCTTTCGCAGAGCACGGGCTCTAGGCGTGCGGGCTTCAGTAGTTGTGGCTCGCGGGCTCTAGAGCGCAGGCTCAGTGATTGTGGCACACGGGCTTAGTTGTTCTGTGGCATGTGGGATCTTCCCGGACCAGGGATCGAACCCATGTCCCCTGCATTGGCAGGCGGATTCTTAACCCACTGCACCACCAGGGAAGTCCTGGGCAGTTACCTTTGACCCTTGATGGTTGGCAGTGGGACAGCTGTAGTGCCCATGGGATGAATGGTGTGCGCCCTTCAGAAGAGGCGGCTGCCGAGGCCCCAGGTCTGTTTCACATTATGTTACATTAGTTGCATTTAGTAGCAGTGAAGGCATTTTTGGAATATTGTTTTGTGTTTATAAGACAAAAGACAGGCTTCCCTGGTGGCGCAGTGGTTAAGAATCCGCCTGCCGATGCAGGGGACACAGGTTCGAGCCCTGGTCCGGGAAGATCCCACGTGCCTTGGAGCAGCTACGCCCGAGTGCCACAGCTACTGAGCCTGCATGCCACGACTACTGAAGCCCATGGGCCTAGAGCCCGTGCTCTGTGACAAGAGAAGCCACCGTGATGAGAAGCCTGCACACCACAACGAAGAGTAGCCCCCGCTCACCACAACTAGAGGAAGCCCGCGCGCAGCAACGAAGACCCAACACAGCCAAAAATAAATAAATTAAAAAAAAAAAAAGACAAAGCATCAACTGTCATACTTGAAAAAAATATTTCAAAGACTTACAGCTAACATCTTCCTTAGACAACTGTGTATTTGAAGTACCATCCTGTTATTCAAGCTCTGGTTCTTCCTATGTTGTAAATAAACAGCTCACAGTTTACCAGCTTCTTTTCTTTTCTCCCTTTAGAAACGATGGGTTGCCATCCTCTCCCAAGATTACCCGACGCTTGCTTTCCACGCAAGTCTTACTAACTCCTTTGGCAAAGGAGCATTTATTCAGCTTCTGCGGCAGTTTGGAAAGGTATTGCGACCTGACCTGTCCCCCCTGGAGTTGGACAGCTGTGGGTTTGTGTGAGAATTTCTCTTCCCAGGGTGTGTCAGAGAGTTACCAGCCTCACCTTCCACATCTTCTCGGTAGTGAGGACAGTGTGTTCTGGAGATGTGAACACTCACAGAGCCTCAGGGATTCTGAAATACTCTGTAGCTCAGCCTGTACCCCCATCCCTGACAAACGTCGCTTCCCTTTCTGCCGTGTCCCTGGCACCGGATGGTCCACCCTCTGCTCAATGATGACGACGGGCCCCCTCCCCACAGTGTATCCCCACTCTGGGCTCCCGGGCTGTGCATTTCTCTTCCCTCTGCCTGGGAGGCACCCTGCTGAACCCCAGCCTCGGATCCCTGGTCAGATGCTAGTTCCTCAGGGAGGCCCTGAAAGCACGTGTTCTCGCAGCTTCATGTTCTGTACCTGCAACTTTGTATTTGTGTGTTCATTGAATCCTACCTGGCTTCTAACAAAGGACACCTGTCCTCTGTCCCACCCTTCCCCACTTCCCAGAAGGAACTCGTCCAACTCATAGCTGTTACTTCTGGTGTTTTTTTCCATATTTTTTATATATGCTTATGAATCTGTTTCTTGATCGCACACCCCCCTCAGTTTTACGTATTTGTTAAGTTCCTACTATGGAAAATGAGGGTTAGGTTTCTTACCCCCGTCCTCCCTCTCCACTCCCTCTGTCCTTGTACGACATTTGGCTAAACTATTACTCATTTAGTGTTTAGGTTATTATGACTGAAGTGTCAGTCCTTGCTGATCCACAATGCTATGATTTTAATTCCTTTCTAATAGGACCTTCTGTTTTATCTGGTGTTAATTAGCTCCGTTTTATTTGTCACTGGCATATCACCAAATCCTCTGGTAGCGTGGGAACTTTCAGAGTGTCTGGCGCCTCCCTTCCAGGTGGACTGGCTGCTGCCCAGGCTGCTGCCGGGTCTTCCTGGGATTTCCTTTCCCCGTCCTCTGAATGGGGGATTGCCATGGCTGTTCCCTGTGTTGTCCTTGTTCACTGGATCCCTCTTCTTTCTTGGTTTACTCCTTCCTTTTGATGGAACCTGTTTTCCAAAAGCTTTCTGAAAAGGAGTGCTTAGAAGGAACATTTTTTGAGACCTTGCATTCTGTAAATGTCTTCATCCTACCCTCACACCGTTTCTTAGAATGCTGAAGACACCACATTGCATTGTTTTCTGGCTTCCAATGTTGCCATTGAGAAATCTGAGACCGTTCGGACTCCTAATCCTTTGTGGCTGAGATCTTTTTGAAAAAAGTTCCTGCTTTACAGTGTCCCAATGATGTGCTTTAAGGTGGGTCTTTTATTGTTCAGTGAGCTAGGCATGGACGGGACTTTTAGTCCGTTATTTGTCCTGTACTGTTTTTTGGAAACCACCCCACGCCATATGCCCCCATTCATCTCTGTTCTTGTTCAGGAATTTGGTTTTATGTCCTGGTTTAATTCTTGAATTTCCATTCTTTTTTTTCTGGCCTTGCCTCGCGGCTTGTGGGAGCTTAGTTCCCTTACCAGGGATGGAACCCGTGCCCCCTGCAGTGGAAGCGCAGAGTCCTAACCAGTGGACCGCCAGGGAATTCCCGATTCTTGAATTTTCTTATCTTTTCTTTGTTTCAGTACATTTATGACATTTTACCCCGTTTTCTGGGAAGTTTCCTTGACTTGATCATTAAGCTGTTCTATCGCAAACTGTATTTTGCGTCTCACTTTTAATTTGTAATTTCTGAAAGCTCTTGTTTATGAATTGCCCTGCTCCCTTTTATAGCCTGTTCTTGTTTCACGGATGCACTGGCTTCTCTGTCTCTGAGAACAATGATAGTGGTTTTTGGAAATTTTCCTCTACATTTCCGTACGTTGACACTGTTTCCTCCAAGTTGCTGTTTTTCTGTCTTTTCTAGTAGAGTCACACTTCAGATGTCTGGTTATTCTTGGTTCTCCACTCATTTAAGAGAGAGCCACCAAAAAAGGCTAGAGAGGCTTTATGCAGGGAGTGGGGTTGTTGAATGAGAGATTTCACTGTAGGTGACTGGGCAGAAACCCAGTGTTTTGTTGGGGGACACTCTAGATGTCAGTGTCTGTAGGGTGGGTTTTTTGTTTGTTTTTTGTTTGGGCCGCACTGCACGGCATGTGGGATCTTAGTTCCCCAACCAGGGATCGAGCCCGTGTACCCTGCAGTGGAAGCACAGTGTCCCAACCACTGGGCCACCAGGGAAGTCCCGTCTGTAGGTCTTTACTCCTGGGCCTGTGAGTTTCCCTAGAAAGGAGTCTTCCTGTCTCCAGCTTGGGCGTATATAGACCTGGCTGCCAGGGTTCTGGGAACTCAGTGGGAGTAGGAGGCTGGGGTTGTCCTATTCAATATTTAGACTTTCAACTAATCACTCTGGGAACACTTGCTTTCAATTACTGTTATCTCTAAATCTAGGTCCCTTTCAGGTCTGAAAATTAAAGAGATTTTCAGACATGCAGGGTTTCAAAAGAGTCATTATCTCTCCTAAGGCTCTGGGGTAGAGAAGTTGGGCACCCATGCCAGGCGAGGGAGGGGAAGGAGAGGTGTGACTATTTCTGCAGACGGTCCACTGGTCAGTCTTCTGGATTTCAGTCCCACCCTTAGAGGAGTCTGTACTGCTGATTCCCAAGGTCTTTCCTGATTCATTGGCAGTATATTTGCTGCATTTTTAGTTTTTCTACCTTTGCAGCCATGTAGCTTTCATATTTTGTAGTGGGGCCAAGTTAGATACTACTTTTTAACTGCGGGTCTTCTGTTAATATCACACATTAGTTTGTTCTGTCTCATCTCCAGCGCATGCTTTGGTTTTATATGTTTGGCTCTATGGGTGTGTGTGTGTTAATTCCCACGGCTGTGGTTCCAGAGGAGTTTGTGGAGGGAGCGAGGTGGGCAGGGATGTGCAGTCCACCGTCTCTAGTCAGAAGTCCCCATCCGTTTGTAGGCTCTTCCTGAGCTCTGCCTCTTTGAGACTTTCACCCAGTGATCTAGTTTTTGAAGCTGCCTTTCTTTTCTTCTGTTGTTTACTTTTAGCAGTGAAAATGCAAAATATCTTGTGCAGAGGAGAGGAGGGATGGGTCGTGGGATTGCCGGTTGCTGCATCTGCTAAGGTTCTCTTCCCCGAAGACATTTTATCAGGGGATGGTGTTCTTCTAAATTGATGACTAACAAGCTATTTCTTCCTTTGTTTCTCAGCCTACGTACTTTTAACCTTAAAACATTCAACAGTAATTTCACGTGAGTGACCGAGGAGCTGACTCACCTCTGATTTCTTAAAGAGTATGTGTACGCAGCCCACTCAGACTATGCAGGTGGTGCGTGTCTGGGTTTTAAATCAAGTCGTAGCAATAGTTTTGTACTGTATTCTTTATGGTAGCAAAGCAACACAACCTGTTTGTCCCATGGGATGTTCACTCTGCGTGTATGTGGTGTGTATTCTTTTTTTTTGAACAGTTGCACACTGACAAGAAACAGATCAGCGTGGGTTTCATTGGCTATCCAAATGTTGGCAAGAGCTCTGTCATAAACACACTGCGCTCCAAGAAAGTTTGCAATGTGGCCCCCATTGCAGGTGAAACAAAGGTATGTCTGGCTCGAGGGGGTCTTATTTGCTTTGACTTACTTTACTTCCATGGAGGGTGATAATTCAGGACGTGGAGATGTCTCTCTGCTTCTCTTGGGTGAAGATCGCCATTGGGAGTTTAGTCTCCATATAATAGTTGGCAACGTCCTGGAGCTGTTTCTGCCCTTTTTGATAAGACTGAGCGTACTTTGTGTGCCACTGCCTGACTTTGGCATTGTTCGGTATGTGCCGTTTGAGTCTGTTTTAAATTGTCACTGCAGCCTTTTGCTTTGATAAACAAAACTAACCCAAGAATATTTGGTGCCTGGGTTAAGAAAGAAAATTCAATTTTAGGGTAGATTCTGTTAGTTGGGGGTCCTACCCTGGAACACAGGGTATTTGGGGCACACCATGGTTCTGCTGAAAGGAACAGGGGCCAAGCAGTATTAAGCTTCCAGGAGTACTTTTAAAAATCAGAAAAAGCTTTACTGGACATTATTGCACAATACTAGATGGAGATCCTGCTTCTGCATTATTTTTAGACCCTTAGCTGTTGGAAACTACGGTCTATGCCTCGTGGAAGTGCCTCATGCGCGGCCCAAAGAGAGGAGCTTTGGAGCTTCATCACGCAGCAGGCTGCTCCTCTCTGACCGCTACCCCCTCTCTAGTTTCTTGAGCATCAGGGGTTTGTGAAATCGCTTTCAGGGATTGACCTGGGGAAGTCTCTGCTTTTTAGGTCTGGCAGTATATTACCTTGATGCGCCGGATATTCCTTATCGACTGTCCGGGTGTGGTTTACCCCTCTGAGGACTCAGAGACGGACATTGTGCTGAAAGGAGTCGTGAGTATTTTGGTCCCGAGAGGCTCTTTTGTTTTGTTTGCCTTTTGGGGCCAGCGTTCTGTGGGGAACTCTGGATACCTTTGCTTTTTACTCATTCAGCAGACAGTTTGGGGTCAGCCTGTCTGACCAAACTTGAGGAACATGACACTGAACAGGGCAGTCTCTCCATTCCACTTAAGCCTGTTTGAGGAGTTAGTGGAACCGTGGGCATATCTGGTCAATGTCATCCCACAAAAGAGTTTGTCGTTTACACACGGGCTCCAAAGGGAAGCAGGGCCTGTTTATGTTTAGAGATAATTCATCTTCATGGGTTTATGGGTTGAGTCATTTTGGAACTCGGTCATTTCCTCACTTGTTTCAGAAGACGACCGAGAGCTTTAAATGGTTCCACTTAACCTTAACCAGTGCTTCTGGCTATGCATCCTGTGCGGTTCCTCCCCTTCTTTCTTAAACTATTCCCTTCTCTTTGTGTCCTGGGATGGGTGGACTTTTAACCGTTTCTGCAAGTCAGTAGCACGAAGGGTTCCAGTTTAAACTACTTGCGGAAGTCACACTGTCAGTTTGTGGTGAGCCGAGGTTAGAGCTGAGTTCTGGGCTCCGCGGCTGCGGTCGGCTGTCCATGGCGCTCCTTTCAGCCAACTGCATCTCGCCACCTCCAGGCCAAGCTCCTGCCAGGCCCCGCTTGCTTTGAGGCATTGAAACCTGTTTTCAGATATGGTTACAGAGAACACTGGGAACTTCACTCCTCCCATAATCAAGTTTGTAAGCAAGAGCTTTCCTGTGAACATTTAGGTTCAAGTTGAAAAAATTAAGACTCCTGAAGACCACATTGGTGCCGTACTTGAACGAGCAAAGCCAGAATATATCAGCAAGACATACAAAATTGATTCTTGGGAGAACGCTGAGGACTTTCTTGAGAAGCTAGCTTTCCGAACAGGGAAGTTATTGAAGGTAAGCCAGGATTTGTGAGAATTCAGACTGGGACGTGCTGCAGGTGTGTGCGTGTGTGGTGTGGACCTTTTATATATGCATGTGTGAGCAGTATGAAGTGCGAAACTTGGCAGGTAGATGGTGCCAACTGGGACCGCCGCCGTGCTTCCAAACCAGGAGGTGGTTTTGTTGTTTGAATTTAATTGGGCCTCTTCCTGCGACATTTCAGGGTGGAGAGCCTGACCTGCGGACTGTGGGGAAGATGGTCCTCAATGACTGGCAGAGGGGCCGGATTCCTTTCTTTGTCAAGCCGCCCAATGCAGAGCCCCCTGTGGCCCCCCAGGTAAGAGAAGGGTGGACCCCTCTCTCGGGAAGCATGGTTACTGACCTGGGTGTGGTGTGTCTTTGGACCACCGTCTTCTCCCTTTAGGGTAGAACTTTCCGCTGCAGTGTCTCCCATCCCAGGGTGCCACTGCTGTGACCTGGTGGGGGGGTGACCAGGAAGTAGAGGTATGATAGAAGCCTGAGTGTAAATGCCAGTTTTCAGGGCCTTGAGAAAGGAGGGCTCATTAAATGTGAGTGCTCCTGTGGTTTTCGTGTCTTTTCTTCTGCTTGAAGAACAGGCATTTCCAAGATGCTTTTGTTTCATGGACATTATGCCCAACCATGTGCCAGGAACTGGGAGCATAGGAATAACAAACGTGGTCCTTGCCCTCAAGAAGCTCGTGGTCAAGTGGGAAAGGAGAGTGGTACAGTGGATGCTCAGGGAAAGTCTATTTCTAGGGTCTTTGTCGGAGCTCAGCCAATTCTCTTGAAGAAGTGGCTTTAAGTTCTGCTTCCATGCTAGTCTTTTGGGTCCATATTTCTCTGGTTTTCTCTCACCGGGCTCCATTCCCAGAGTTTCCATTGTCAGCTATAAATTTCCAGTTTGAATATTTTCTCCAGCATTTCAAAATCAACATATCTGAAACTGATGTTACTCAACCTTTTCCCTTCTCCCCACTAAAACCGCCAAACAGCTAGTACTGCGGGACGAGGCCCTGCCTTCCTGCACGTATACACACACACGTACACACACACGCATACACGTGCCAGTGGAGGAGTATTTGGTGTTTTCTGATACCAAATAGCTTTCATTTTTCCATACCTATTATGCAAGCCTCTGACACCAACTGGGTGTCCAGTAACTTCCAGAGTTAGTGCAGACCCCACAGGTTAAGGGCTGAGTCCCACAAGACTACCCCAACTTCAGATGCCAGCTGCAGGTGGGGTTCTCAGGCTACCCACACTTCTGCCCAGCTGACTACAAATGCAGAGGTTCCCAGGTTTGATAATTTGCTGAAAAGACTCACGGAACTCAGGAAAGTGGTTTGCTTATGACTACCGGTTTATTACAAAAGATACAAGTCAGGAACAGCCAAATGGAAGAGGTGCATAGGGCCAAGTATGGGGTAGAGGGTGGTGTGGAGTTTCCGTGCCCTCTCCAGGCAGGCCACCCTCCCAGCACGTCAGTGTGTTCACCAACCCAGAAGCTCCCCAGAGCCTGTCTGTCCTTAAGGGTTTGTATGCAAGGTGTGTAAGTTCAGCCTTCATCATGTAGGCACGGTTGACTAGATCACCAGCCACTGGTGACTGAACTCAGTCTCCAGCCCTCTCAGCAATTGCTCGGGCTCTCCGGTGACCAGCCCCCAGTCTGAAGCTACGTCCCACCACAGTCATCTCATTAGCATAACTTTGGGGGAGAGGGGCTTGTTACAAATAACAAAAGCAAGACACCCCTGTCTTAACCCAGGAGATTCCAAGGGTTTTAGGAGCTCTTGTGCCAGGAACTGGGGGTCAAGGACCAAATGTGCACTTTTATCGTCCTGCAGGGAGACACGTAGTAAACAGATACGGATGTAACGTACTGATTGCTGTGAGGGAGGCTAAAGCAGGGTTAGGGGTTTGTGGGAGGCAGAGCAGTGCCTCGTACGTGGGGTGGTCAGGGACGGCCTCTGAGGAAGTGGCTTTTGAGGGGGGGCCCTAGTGATGGGAGGCAGGAGCTCCGCAGGTGTCACGAGAGGCGAGCATTGCAGGCATGGGGAGCAGCACGCGAGGCGGAGCGAGCCTGGTGTGTCATGGCTCCGGGAGGACGTGGCGGGCGGGCCACGTGGCTGTGGCCTCTGACCCAAAGAGGCCGCCCCTGCTCCCGTGTGGCCCTGCCTGGGAACGGCGGGCTTTCTCTAACTCTTCCTCCATGTCTAGTCGTTAACTTGAGATGGTCAGTGTCCGTCGTCCCCCGCCCCCGCTCCGTGATTCTCCTCCTTTCCTCTTTTTGGTGGTGGCAGCAACCCCCTTGAGCATCCGAAGGCTGAAATCCAGCTTACCAGAAAAATGCACGGAAACGTACATACGAATTTGTATACAGTTTCCTGAACTTCATGGATTCCTGATGCAGTTAGTGCTTCGCGCAGCCACCTTTGCCTTTGGAAAATCCCTTGAGTTCTGCGAGCCTCAGTTGTGAGTGCACAATTGCGTCAGCTGCGTGAGGGCTCACGCCGCCAGCCCACGCTCCCTCCGCACCTTCCCCGAACCAGGCCGCCTCCGGGCTCGTTCTGAGCTCCTAGGAGGTTCCCTCCTCTTTCCTCACACCTTCCTTCCTTCGAGGTGCCTCCTCAGTGCCTCTCCTCTGCCCTCACACTTTCTAAACTAGTGCTGCGATCGCCCTCAGCATTCAGCTGGGCCTTCATTCTTCTGTTATAGTGTGTGCTCATTTGGAATTACCCTTTTTCTTCTTCTTTTTTTTGGCCATGCTGTGTGTGGGATCTTAGTTCTATGACCAGGGATTGAACCCGTGCCCCCTGCATTGGGAGCACGGAGTCTTAACCACTGGACGGCCAGGGGAGTCCCAAGCTGTGTGCTCATTTGGGATGTGCTTTCTCAGCACCCCCCATTCCTTGCGGTCCCCAGGAACAGAGTAGGGAACCTCCCCCGTCTACAGTGTAGAGTTGGCTGGTTTTGATGGCTAAGTACTCAGGGTTGGCGCGTCCTTCGGGGCCGCAGCCGTATTCCTCTGATCCTTCCACGCTGGGCTCAGGGTTTAATGCACATCGACTGAAAATAGATTAACAATATGACTCAGATGTGCATGCTTTCGACACTTGCCCTTAGTCCTGAGAAGAGGACTGCCTCATTTGAGAGCAAGGTATGGAAGTTCAGAAATTCAGCAGGAAACTCTGCTCAGTATTCTGTAATAACCTAAATGAGGAAATAACTGAAAAAGAATAGATGCATATGTATGTGTAACTGACCCACTGTGCTGTACACCTGACACTAACACAACATTGTTAACTATACTCCAATATAAAATAAAATTTTAAAAAGAGACTCAATTTTCATTTTCTGATTCCATTTCTCTCCCCACCCCACCCCTTTTTGGCCTGACTAGCTTCCGTCCTCCTCCTCTTTGGAAGTGGCCACAGAAACAGCCCAGAACAGCCCAGAAGAGGGCGTCACAGACACTGTAGGTGAGGAGTCGGAATCCATCGCTGAGAAGGAAAAAGAGGAGCCCGGCCACGGTGGCGCCGATTCAGAAATGCAGCAGATTGTGGCGCGGGTCCGGCAGAACTTCGGCAAAATCAACGTCGTGCCTCAGTTTTCTGGGGATGACCTCGTTCCTCTGGAGATGTCTGATATTGACGAAGAGCTGGAGAGCCTTTCCGCGGAGAGGGAGGAGGAGGAGGAGGAGGAACAGGAGCACCAAGGAGACGAAGAGGAAGAGTCCTACGCAAAGTCCCAGGAAGAACACGCGGGAAGCAACACCAAGGCCGTTATTCAAGCCCTGGATGAGAAGATTGCTAAGTACCAGAGGTTTTTAAACAAAGCCAAAGCTAAGAAGTTTTCAGCAGTCAGGTAGCGTCCTCATCTCCTCACGAATTGCAGTTTGCTCATTCCTTTCCCAGAAACTTGCCGTGAGGATTGGAGCCAGTGTGTGTGTAGGGCAGGGGAGGGTATTGCCGTTTTCAAATTCAACTGCCTGAAGTATGAGAAGCTTAGTATTGATAGTTCTGTCTTTTACAAATGCCCAGGAGCCGCCAAAACAATGTTGCTTCTACCGATGGTGTTAACCACGTGAAGGGGCAGCGGGGTTTCGTTAATCTGCGAGCTTGTCGTGGTCCCTGCGTCAGCGCCTGTGTGGGCAGCGGGGGGAATGTTGGACGGCTTCATTGCTCTACTCTTCCCCTTACAGAATATCCAAGGGACTGAGTCAAGTGGTTTTTGCAAAATCCGAAGAACAGAGAAGAGCAGCTGAAGAAGACGTAGAAGATACAGGTACAGTTAAAATATTAAAATCATGTAGATGTGATTTGCATCTTTAGAACGTTGGGGAATCTAAGTTTAATCTCCAAAGTATCTCTTGTATTGTCATCCACACAGATATTTATCATATCTGGCAGGTAACCCTGGTTCCACTTACTATTTATCACACAAATTGGCTTTTCTTCTTTTTATTCTGCACATGTCTTGGGGTTAAATGGGTGATTTGGGAAGATTCCTCTCAAAAGAGTACATTATGAACATTGTAATCTAAGGGTGGGTCCAAAGACAAATTTTTTTCTCGGGGTAGGATGGTTCATGTATTTATTCTTTATGTGGTTGGACTACTACCTCCTACATTGAGTGTGTTTTCAAGACAAACGCAAACCCCGCCAAGGCCACTCAGCGCCCCCAGGTCTGGCAGCCTCCGGCCTCGTCCTGCTTTGCTCTGCTCTGCTCACCACACTCCCTTCACACCGGCCTCTGCCTTCCTTCTCCAGCACAACAAGCTCATTCCCACCTTAGGATTCAGACACATTTTGAATTTAAAAATTCCTGTTTCTTTCCTCTGTGTGTGCTTGTGTTTCGTTTCCAGCACCTACCAGGAAGGGAAAGAAGAGGAAGGCACAGAGGGAGGAGGAGCAGTCGAACAAAGCTCGCAGGACGCTTACATCTAAGGAAGTACGTGCTTTGGTCTGAAACGTCCCCCAGGTGTAGAGAGGGGAAGTCCATTTCTTAAGACTCACTCTTGCAGAAACTAATGGTCTAGAGTTGAAATCAAGAAACCCCAGTCCTGGGGCTTCCCTGGTGGCACAGTGGTTAAGAGTCCGCCTGCCGATGCAGGGGACACGGGTTCGTTCCCCGGTCCGGGAAGATCCCACATGCCGCGGAGCGGCTGGGCCCGTGAGCCATGGCCGCTGAGCCTGCGCGTCCGGAGCCTGTGCTCCGCAGCTGGAGAGGCCACAGCAGTGAGAGGCCCGCATACCGCTAAAAAAAAAAAAGAAAAAAGAAATCCCAGTCCTAAGTGACCTAGTTGAGGTCAGTGAAACAGGATCAAGGAGTGGGCTGCTGCATGAAGGTCCTTGAGTTTATGTCTTGTTTTATGAATTCCTGGTCAGTATCCCCAAACACGTGGACTACTGTTTGGAAGAGTCCGCTGGGTTTATGTGGCCTCAGGGAAATGACACGTGAGGAGCAGGGCTGTGTAGGCAGACAGATCACCGCCTTCTGTGAAGTTCAGCTCTGTAACTGGGCCCTCCAGAGCTGGAGGGGGCCCTCTTCGGAGGTGGAGTGATCAGCCTTAGACCAGAGGACCACTTGTCAGGAGCTCAGGAGAAAAGATTCAAGCGTTGGATGAGGGTTGGACCAAATGACAGTCTAACTTGGAGTGGTCACAAGTCACAATGGAAGTGCAGACTTGGGTCTGTGAGGTGAACTCTCCCTTGTTGGTGCTGCTTCCAGTAGTTGTGGGAGCAGCGTGGGAATAGAACACAGAGAAACAGAGGGGCCTGTTTTATGACTTTCACTGTTTGATTGTTTTTTTTCCCTCTTTGTGTGTGCGCGCCATTTTTTACAGCGGAGGCGAGAAGCACGGCAGCAACGATCCAGAAAAGTCGGTGTACGCTACTATGAAACACACAACGTGAAAAACAGGAACAGGAACAAAAAGAAGACCAGTGACTCAGAGGGGCAGAAACACAGACACAAGAAATTGAAACATAAGCAGTAACGTTTTAAAAGTTGTTTATTAAATTCTACAAAAATATGCAGTTAGAAACTCTGTTCGTTTTCTTCATGCCCAATTGGCATTTCGAAGGCCATGGGTGCATCTGTTCTGAGATTTGACAGTTGAAACCATTCACCAGTGCCAGTGAAAATAAAGATAAGCCCCTCACCCCCAAGGATCTCAGCGATGGGGTCCACTGGAACTTCGGACACTTGAATTAGCCCTGTGAGTTCCTCAAGCAAATGGAGATATCTGACAGAAACAGGCCTGAGGTCTAGAAAGTGTGGAGTGTGGTATTTTTTTTGTACTGGCAATGAGCAATTTAGAACAGAAGCTCTTTGGAATAGAACTGTAAAAAGAAGAAAATTTTAGGGATGTCGTGTGCAGAGCCTAGGCTTTAAAATACGAAGAAAAAGCCACAGCAACTTGTGTTGTCCGTCGTTGAGTCTGCTAGGGGAACCTAACAGGCCACGAGTGCTGCACTGTCAAGGAGTCATGGGACTAGCACATCTCAGTGACCACAGTTCTTTCCCATGAAAATGACAGAGCACAGACAGGCCATTTTAGTGGAATCTGGGGATTAATTCCTCAGGACACCTGGATGAGGGTAAAAGCTGTGACTTCAAATTTGAGATTAGAGTGTAGAGGGCTTGTTTGACTCAGTGGAACACGGCTGTTCTTGTTGGACTGCAGTTCATCCAGTGAGCCTGGAAGCCCTGGCCGGGACGGGTATCCGACCCGAGCGCCTCTCCAAGAGGACGCTGAGCACTTGAGGCCTTCTAACCGAGGGGAGATGTTAGCGCCTTCTTAGTCACGCTAGTTGTGAAGTGTGACTGAAGGATGGCACTCATGGAGCTGCTGCTGTGCCCTGGAATGAAGGATTTATGTCACTAATTAAGTCTCCTGGGTCTGTGAAATCAGAAGACTCCTGAGCCTCCAGACTGAGTTTAGATTATGAGGAACAGTAAAATGCAGTTGTCTCCAGGCCATGGCCGTCATGAATAATTAGAACTGAGAGTGAGGTCTGGGCTAGCCAGGCTGTAGGGTTGGGGTTTGATTGTCTGCAGAGCAAGGTGAACAACTCAGTGCTGGGGGAGGAGCCGAGGTCCAGGCAGCTCACAGTGGACACCGTGACCTGTATTTCTTTCCAGCACGTGTTTACGTTCTCGAAACCCATGGGTTTGACCCTGCCATTGCCTCCTACCCAGGCAGTCCAAAACTAAGGAGGATGGGGTCCAGTGACTTGGCAGGCGGGGATAAGATGATACGGTATAAACTGAAAACTCCAAAATGAGGTAGTAGAACTGCACTGGAGTAGGGATGATGAAAAGACATCAAATAAGGGCAAGACTGAGGCCAGAGGAGCCCGGGTTAAGGGACAAGATGAATTGCGGGGCAGAGAAGCAGCTTCGTGTGGCTGGAAATAAGTGACAGTATGGAGTGACAGTGAGAAAGGAGCTGCTCCACCTGAGAGGGATACAGCCAAAGGGGTGAATTCTGAGTCTCACCGTTGGAGTTGGCAAATCCCAAGGTTGGCCACGTACAGAGACTTCCTGGGCCACACTGCCTTCTGTCGTCCAGCCCGGAGCCTGGCTGCCAGACCGTAGGTGTCGCACCACACTGGGGCGGTGGTGGGGCTTCTGACGAATACGTAGGTGGGACCAGGGGAGGGGTATGGCTTCACTCAGGAAGCTTTTTATTACAAAGGGCTTATGATGGGGTAGTAGTGCTTGCTGAGACCCATATGGAAATTATCACTTCTTTGGTGCAATAATGCCTTCCAGTTGGGCCTGAAAAACAAAACCAAACTCCGTTAATATTTGAAACTTGCAGCCTAACACAACTAGCTGAGAGGTGATAAAAGTCTCCGGGAAGAGTAATCCAAATGCTGCCACCCCAAGTGTTTTTCCCTTCATTCCCAACTCCGTATTTTCTAGATGAGCTGGTCTCTGGCTTGGCATTCAGTCTTGCTGCATTAGGAGAAATCAGAGCTGTCCTGGTTTCCATACAATAGCTGCTCAGTGTGTAATATACGGCATTGAAAAGGAAATTGAATAAAAGGTGTTGAAATAGTGGCTTTTCAAGGCTCAGATTTCAAGCCTGAGCACGTCTGCTAAGTTAAGCGTTTGGCTCTCTGGTTTGGGAGCCTGGGAGCTCTGTGCTGGGACAAGAGGTTTTGGAAACAGCAGATTTTCAGCCACTGAGACAACCTGATACCCAATTAGAGAAAACTGCCACCAGTGAGTAGGGAGCTGTCCATCTTGTATGTAAAACTTCAGGCACTTGGGAGTTATTTACTCTGCTCCTCCGGCAGCCAGTAAAATAATTCACTGTCACGGTGTGTGAACAGATCTCTAAGTAGGTCTATTCTGCGGACTGCAAACACTGCTTTATTTGCAGTGCAGCTTTGAGCCAATAAAAATAACTCACTACTAAAGAGTCCTTCACCCTGGGGATTCCAAGGTTGCTTGTAAATGTTAGAAAGATGCCGAGGTATTCTGCTTTGCTCTTGCCGCCAATACCATAGGAGGAACTGAGGAACTTGAGCTTATGATAAAAGAATATGGCAGATAAGGGAGGCAGCTTCAGAGACTGCTAAGTAAACAGATTCACATCTGGCTGTGAAAGTTTCTTTGTTTTGTTTAAACTCAGCAACAAGAAAATCTATGTCATCCTCCACTAGCAATTAACACAAGCCCTTCTTTATCTCAAATGCCTGGCCTTGGCTTGTAGTACCAACAAGCCTGCCAATCGCAAGAATGTAAGCTTCTATGAAACTAGGGAGGAAAAGGAGATACATCTAGGGGCCCCTCCTGGCCAGGGCCATGGGAGACAGCCACTGAACGTCAATAGGCCGTATATCTAGAGCAGTGGTTCTCAAACTTTGGCAAACATCAGAATAGAGAATGTTGCCCCATGCAGTGATTCTGCCCACCTTCACCATCTGTTGGTAAAAAAAAAACTATATTTTACTCTTTTCTGCGAAGTTTGAATCTTGTTTTATCTCATTATAATTAACACTTGTTTCTGCAAGATTCGCAAAATGATGACAATTGATGAAGTTCTGTAATGGGCACATGGATGTGTATTGCATTATTCTACTTTGTGTTTCAAAATTCTCATAATAAAAGGTTAAAAAAAAATCACCTGGAGACCTTGTTAGAATGGCTTGCTGGACCCCAAGCCCAAAGTTTCTGATTCAGTAGCTCTGGGCTGGGCCCAATGATTTGTATTTCTGAAAGTTGCGGTGATGAGGATGATGCTGGTTTGGGGCCCAACCCTCTGAGAACCTTTGGACCAGACAGAGAGCCTGGAGCTTCTGAAGCCTGGCCCCCAGCCCAGCCCTTTTCACTAGTCCCCCTCCCTCCCTCCCTCCCTTCAGCTCAGTTGGACAAAAGTATACCATCAGCAAAAGGGCTTTGATGAAAAGTGCCTACAGCTGAGTTCCTCTGACCACACACCTCGGGAAGGTTCCCGATTTGAAATGGTTCTTCCCTCTCGAAGGGCCTTCCCAGCCCGCCCCGAATGCAGCGCCTCAGAGGGAACTGCAGGTAAGAAAGCACTCCCAGAAAGCCGGCTGGAGAGACTCAGCCCACTCTAAGAAGTCTCCAAAGCGCCAGCTGCCATGGGACAGACGTCCCGCTTCTTGACATAGCCACCTCTCCCAGACGATAGGCAACTTTTATCCAAGGGGAAAAAAATCCTCTGCTGGAGAGCCAGAGCTGAGAATACAGCCTCTCTTCAGAGCCGGATGGAGATGGACAGAGAATCTGGGAAATGATCCCTCACCTCTCCCCGAAAGAGCTTCCTTTACTCCTTGGCAGTACTGAAAGTCAGTGTAGGACAAGGAACCAAATGCTTGGCCTGCTCGGCTGGCAGGGCCAGGGGCGGGGACGGGGATGGGGGTGGCAGGAGCTCCACCTGGGCCTGGGCATCGATTACCTTCAGCTGCTGATTAGTCCGCTTCAGGAACTGAATCTCTTCTTTGTGCTTCGTCTCCTCCACCTGTCTCCTCTCACTCTCCCGCTTCTCGATGGCCTCACATTTTGCCTTCTGCTCGTTCACTTGCCTCTCCAAATCTCGCTTTTCCGTTTCTAATTCTGCAATCTGAGGACAGAATCCCCAGTCATGCTGGGACGTCGCCAAGTGGACGGGGTGGTGTGAGTGCCTGGGTGAAGGGGACCTGGGACACAGCTGTCCAACCCCAGGCATTGCCAGGGTCTGTACTGCCACCCAGTGGGAGGTCAGTGACTGGCAGGGCATGTCCAAGGGGAGACAACTCTGCCACGACCGGACTGGCTGTGACACTGAACCAAAGGGTCCTCACTAAGGTGATGGGAGAGCACCTAGGAGGCCGGAATTTGGTGCTGGAATGACGAGCTGTGGCCCTGAGATTGACAGAAGAGTCGAAGAGGGCCAAAGTCTCACTTTCTTCTCCATGTCTGACTTCCCCTGCTCGGCCTGCAGCGCCTTCCTCATGCCAAATGCCACGCTGCTCTCATACAGGGTCTGGTAGGCAGCAATGGTCATGCGGATCTCGTCCCGGACTCGCAGCAGCAGCAGCCCTCGCTCCGCACAGCTGATGGTAACCTCACGGATCAGTTCATCTGCCAAGGCACACGTGGCGAGGTCGGGGAAGGCAGGCAGGCGGGGAAATGCACCGCACCTACTGCGAACCACCTTCCTACCGGGAAGTCGGAAGGGCACTAGGGTATGTCCTCACCTGGAGACAGGCCTCAGGGAGGGGCCTTGCCATGCAGCCACTGCTCTGAACTTGGCACTTGGGAGTACAGGCCATCAGCAAGCCTGGTTTGGCCAGCGCAGAGGCAGACAAGAGCCCAGGTTTGTCTGCAGCCGTGGGGGCCCTCTCTCCCACCGTTAGGCAGAAACTGGGTGCTATTCAAAGAATTCTGACTTTTTCAATATAAACGTGGTGGCTGTTTTAAAGCAGCTGGAAGCTCCTATGTGGCCCCTTGGCTGGACTGGTTTGGGGCTGGAAACAGCAGGGTCTAGAGCTTGCCCACCCATCTCCTCCATAAATGCCGACTGGGAGGGCAAACCAGAATCACACCCAGACTGAAGGGAGCCCGCTAGCCCCGTGCAGCTGCCTCAGGGTTTGCATGCGGTTTGCATGTCTGAGTCCACACGGGCTGGTGAGACTAGACCGAGGGCCAGTCATCTGACACCAGCACCCGAGGAGGGAGATCTCAAATCCCTGCGTCTGTCGGGTCACAACAAATCACCCTGAAATATTTTTCTGGACCAAGGCCTAATGTTGATGGATGGATATAAATATAGAACATTAAATTTTTCTGATTAAAAAAATAACATATTGGGACTTCCCTGGTGGTCCCACGCTTCCACTCCAGAGGGTGCGGGTTCAATCCCTGGTCGGGGAACTAAGATCCAGCAGGTCGTCAGGAACACGGTGACTGACAAGGGTGGGTGCGGGACTGGTAAGAGAGGTGGGCTGGGAGGGGGAAGAGGGCACAGTTAGCAGTTCCTGGGTGGGGCAGGTGGGGGGAGACAGACATTCCAGGATGGGGCAGGCTTCAGCTGCAGGGGACTCAGGGCCTGGATTTGTGCGAAGGGAAGGGAAGGAGGCAGTAGAGGGTGGTGTAGCTTCCCGCGAGGACCACTCACCGAAACACTGCGAGTACAGCTCCCGGCGCACCGGGCAGATGCCAGTCTCCCGGGCCTGCCGCTGCTGCAGCTTCAGGTCCAGCTGCTCCTGGAGGTGTACCACATCCATCCTGGTGCTGGGGGCGCTGGACACCTGCTGGATCCATAGCTGCGTGTCCTCCACCCACTCCCTGCGGGACAGACACAGCCAGGCTGAGCGCACCCCATCCACCAGACAGGGTCCTCAGGATGTGAGCAGAGATGGCCCTTTGCGCTCTCTGTCTGAGATGAGTGAGGGGCGGTTCTGTCCCCGACCCACCAGAATCCTCCATCTCCTTCTCCCTTGATGAGTGTGTGTCTCCAAAGCCACACCCACTGTGCCACCTCCACGGGGCCCCTATCTTGGGGCTAGGCTACCTTCATTCTCCCACGACCCTCTGTGAAGTCGTCATCCACGGTCCAGATCTTACACTCCTAACATGTTGAGGGCAGACTGATGGTGGTTGTTGCTTGATCTGAACGGAAGGCCCAGTGGAAATTCCCACTGACTTGTGAGTAGGAGACACAGGGGACTATAAACCTTGTGCCAGCCAGAAAGAGGTGAATGGTGCTCGCTTCATCAGCACATATACTAAAATCAGAAATAGGTGAATGTATGTATTGGGGGTGTGTACCTATATGGGCCCCCCCTAGTGAACCTTGTGTCAGAGACACAGCCAGGTCTGGAATCACGAGGCGGGGCCTGAGGGCAGAACCACCATGAGGGAGAGGATTCCATGCATGGTTGAAAAGCAAGCAAATGAAAAACACCCTCCCCTCCTTTGACCTCCATTTCAGAGGAGATTGCAGTCTGGCTTTTACTGTTTCCCCTTTTCATCATAACTTTAAAAACTGCTGTCAACTTATTACATAAAAACAGTTGAAAGGCACTGTGATCACAATGATCTTTGTGGCTGCAGCAGAAAGAAGCAGGGTAAGGGGATGGTGAAGAAGGGAGCTCTCCTTTTAGAAAGGAGTCTGAAGGAAGGCCTCCTAGAGGACTCAGGACTCCGCACTCCCAATGCAGGGGGCCCGGGTTCAATCCCTGGGAGCTGGATCCCACACACATGCTGCAACTGGGAGTTCACATGCCACAACTGAGGAGCCTGCCTGCCGCAACTAAGACTCAGCACAACCAAATAAATAAATTAAAAAAAAATAGATGGTGGAAGCAGAGTAAAAAGCAGTCAGATTTGGAAAATAATTTGAAGGGAAAGCCAAAAGAATGTGATGAAGGACAGGACATGTGATGTGAGAGATCAAAGGGAATGAAAGGTGGCCTGTGTCCCTAATGGAAAAGGAGAAGACTGAGAATGAGCTGGTTGGGGGAAGGAAGACATTATGATTTAGTTTGGACATGTTGAGTTTGAGATGTCTATTAGACATCTTCATGAAGGTAACGAGGAAGTAGTAGAATATATAGGTCTGGAGTTTAGGGGAGAGGACAGGGCTGCAGAAAGACCTGTGGAAGAAATCAGCATATAAGTGATGTTTAAAGCCATAAGCCTGGGTGAGAGGACTCAGGAAATGATGGTAGATAGAGAAGAGGTCTCCCCGCTACCCACATTCCCAGGATCTAGCCATGTGTAAGCCCTAGAAACTCTAGGATGCTGGGAGGAAATCTCAGTCAGAAACAGAGACAAGGTGCCTCCTCTCACATCCCCAAGTTCAGGGATGCAAAAGCCTGGGCCTCCTCCCAGCCACTGCTTTTTTACCTCGGGGGCAGGATGGCATTCAAGATTTCTTCTGCCTGCTTTGTAGGATCTGGGACACCGGAAGTTGAGGGGAGCTTGGTCTTTGGTGGCTGTGGGACGGGACCTGAGGGTCCGGGCTGCTGAGGGCTGACTTTCAGTGGCCGAGCCTGAGAGGGAGGGACAAGTTGGAGCAGGAGGTGATTCAGACACTCAGCTCCACACACCCTGGCCCCCTGGGTTGCTCCAGCTCTCCTGCACATCCCTCCCCTCTTCCCAGCTCACTTTCCCCCGTCTTCTCAGCCAAAGTTATGTTTCAGAGCTGAAGGAGGCCACAAAGAATCTCTGGTTCCACCCCAACCTAATGCTTGTATCTTCTTGAAGAAATGTTTCTGGCACAGCTGCTCAGGCCTCTGCTCTAGTGATGGGGCAATCACTCCCAGATCTATTCTTGGGGCTACCATGAAAAAGGGTGAGCCCCATCCATCTCCCTGTGACTTTCTTCCCCATCCTAAATCTGCCCTTTGGGGTCACCCAACATCTGGGCTTCTTGTATCGCTCTCCCACCCTCCTTCTCCGGTCCCAATTCCCTTTACTCCCAGTCACTGCAGCCTCTGTCCCTCGGGACTCCCGATCCTCAAGGCAGGGATCGGTCTTTCCCCATCGGAGCTTCGTGCACCCCCACCTTCTGAGACCCGTCCTTACTTTGGGGCTCCGTTTCTCCTTGTTCCGGCTCACCAACACCGGGGTGTCATACTTGAGCAGAGAGTCCGCGGGGGGAATCATGGCGGCGGCGGGAGTAGTAGCCCTGCTGCGACCCTCCAGTTAGGGCCTTGTTTGCCGTCGCCATAGAAACCTCCCCCCGCCCTCATGGCCTGGGCGGGGCTTCAGGGCGGGGCGGGGCCAGCAGCGCGAGAGTTTCTGCCTAGCCTTCGCGGAAAGATCTCTCAGCTTAGTTTCCCAGGCCACTTGCTCACCGGGTCGTCTTGGTACTCTTGGAAGCAGGGGAAACATCAGTTCTGAATCCCTGTGCTGCGTCTAGCTCGTGATTTGAATTAGGTACAGATCACCTTCGCTGACCCTCAATTTTGTCATTTTCAAAATGGGAATCATCTGACTCCTCAGCGAAGGGTTGGGGAAGATTCCCAGAGGAAGGCATCTGAAGTTGCCGGGTTTTAAAAAGTATTGGCTTTTAAGTAAGTGGAGAAATGACAACATAACAGAAAGCGCAAGAACAGAGGGGAAATACTAATGATTTGCCCACGGGCTACCATCTGTGATTGCATTTCCTTCTCTTCCTCTTTCCTTGGTATTCCCAAACGTAAATGTAATCACACACTGCGCACAATTTTGTATCTTGCTTCTTTCGTTTAACAAGTCAGGGTTTTTTCCATTTGTCATATAGTTTGTAAATAGCATTGCGAATGGCGACATAACATCTTCCCTATCGCTGGGCATGTAGGTTGTCTCTGTGCTCCGTAATTACTATAACAGGGCAACAAACATCCTTGAGAGTAGATTTTTTTAAAAAAAAACATCTTTATTGGGGTATAATTGCTTTACAATGGTGTGTTAGTTTCTGTTTATAACAAAGTGAATCAGTTATACATATACATATGTTCCCATATCTCTTCCCTCTTGCATCTCCCTCCCTCCCACCCTCCCTATCCCACCCCTCCAGGCGGTCACAAAGCACAGAGCTGATATCACTGTGCTATGCGGCTGCTTCCCACTAGCTATCTACCTTACGTTTGGTAGTGTATATATGTCCATGCCTCTAGTCATGTACCAAAATGTTCATTGCAGCTCTATTTACAATAGCCCGGAGATGCAAACAACCTAAGTGCCGAAAGTTGAGAGTAGCTTTTTCACAAAAGTTTGCTTTTGAAACTTAAATCTCCTGCCTCTCGAGTCGGGTCACTAAGGCCCCTCCCACTCCAGAATCGTATCGCGTTATCTCCGCCGCGAGGGTTTCTGGGAGAGCGTGCACTCGGAAGCGGAAGTCCTAGAGTCAGGTCCGTCATTTCCTTCGGGGACAGGAGTGCTACGGACATCTTTTTCCTGGGCTCCGCAGGTCTCTTAGTATGAAGGAGGTGAAGAGCGAGCGGGATCGGGGGAGCCGACGAAGGCACCGGGACGGGGACATGGTGGCGGCGGTGGTGGTGAAGCAGGAGCGCCTCAGCCCGGAATCCGCGCCTCCCGTGCACCGCCGCCCGGACTCCTCCGGCGGCAGCCCGTCCCCACCGGCCGGCGAGTCGGGCCGCCCGAGTCACCGCGGGAACCGAGCCCGAGGAGGTAGCCGGTAAGTGAGAAGCAGCCCGGGGTGGACCTTAGGTCGGGTTCATTGAGAAAGGAGGACAGGGCTAGAACCAGAAACACACCTTGAACGCTGAGCGCTGCAGCTTGGACTTAATCCTAAGGCGATAGAAGTGACCGGTTGTGCTTGTGTTAAGGAACGTTTACTCTGGTACCTGTCACTTGCGTAATAGTTGGGCGTTAAGCGCCTAATGCCTGCTGGACAGGATCTCGTCCCTCCATTTCTGGGTACCCAGCATTTCACCGGGTATGGTCCAGTTTAAGTTGTTCGTTAAGCAATGATCATTTAAGTTGAAATGAAAGATTTTCCCCATTTGCCTGCAAACGGAGTGCGGGAGTTATCTTTTCAGTTATCTGCCCCAAGAAGTTTACATATCGAGGGCCTAGGCGATCTGTCTAATATTCTGTGGAAAAATATTGTCTCTTGTTAAACTCGTTCATTTATTAATTCATTCGACGTAGTTTTACTGAGTACCTATTATGTGCTAAAGACCATCGTAGGTTATAAAATAATGTGGAAAAATATCTATGTAACACTTTTAAAAATATACATATGGATATGTAGAAAAAAGAAGATCGTCCTAGGTTCTGGGGCGGCAAGGATGAACACCGTAGATGATCTCTACCTTGATGAAACTGACCGTGCTGTAGCTCTGAGACAAAATAACAAGCAAATTAAAAAAAAAAAAAAAGAAGTTGTTTCAGTTAGTAACAAGTATTAGGGGTAGGTTAAAACAGTAATGTGATAGTGAGAGGGTAGAGGGAAATGGTTCTCCCTGAACCACTCTCTGAAAAGTCCACCATTTGACCTGAGACCTGAATGGTGAGAATAATCCAGGCTTGTAAAGATCTAGGCAGAGGGAATAGCCCGTGCAAAGAACTTGAAGTGGAATCAGTTGTGTTCCTTCTAGAAATGGGGGGTGGGGGGGTGGATTCAGGAGATCAAGGAGAGTGGTTGGAATGAGGTGGGAGACGGAGGAAATAGAGCCAGAGGACTTGCTGATTGATTGATTGAGTGAGTGTGATTGTGTGGGAGAGGAGCGTGGGGGGCTGCTGGTGGTGAGGAGAAAAAGAATCAAGGGTGACTTCTAGGTTTTTGGCCGGAGGAACAGGGTGGATGGGGTGGCGCCAGTTACCCAGATGGCAAAGACAGAGGAAAGTTTCTTGAGGGGATGGGAATCTAGAGTTATGTCATCTATGTGAGAAGTTCCATCAGGCAATTATGTATGTGGAAGACATTAGGGCTAGAAAAGTGAAGCTCCTTACTCCTTTAGTGTGATCAGCAGAGACCTGCACAAATGTGGTGTTTGTGTTAGTAGGTAAGCCTGATACTTGAAGCTAATTTGTATTAGGGAATGAAAATTGAGATAAAATCTGCGTGTATCATTCTCTGAACAGGTCTCCAGCCAGAAAGAAAAACAAGTCCTCAGGGAGAAGAAGCAAGTCTCCCCGGAGTAAGAGAAGCCGAAGTCCTCACCACTCAACGGTCAAAGTAAAGCAGGTAAGTGGATTGAGATGTTTTCATACTGGCCCCAAACCTAGAGTCTGTCCCATCATAGCTAAAGAGTGTTGTGTATGTGTTCTCCTGTACTTGCGATGGGCTTTTCTAAAAACTGGGTTTGTTTTTTTTTCCTGCTTGCTTTGTTAAGTTAAACCTATTATTTTGAGGTAATTGTTGATTCACATGCAGTTGTAAGAAATAATACAGAAGTGGCTGTTTCTCCCAATGGTAACATCTTACAGAATTATAGAACAGTATCACAGTCAAAACATTGACATCAGTGCAGTCAAGGAACAAAACATTTCCATCACAAGGATCCCTCATGTAGTCCTTTTATAGTCGCAGCCAGTTCCCTCTCACCCTTACCCCTCAACTCCTGGCAGCTTCTAATCTCCTCTCCATTTCTATAATTTTGTCACTTCAGGCATGCTGTGTAAATGGAATCTCACAGTACAAGCCTTTAGGGATTGGCTTTTTTCACTCAGCAAAATTCTTTAGAGATTCATTCAGGTTGTTGCCTCTCTCCGTAGTTCATTCCTTTTTATTGCTGAGTCGTTTTCAGTGGTGTGGATTTAACCATTTGTCCGTTAAAGAATATCTGGGTTGTTACCAGTTTTTTGGCTATTAGACATAAGGCTGCTTGCTATGTAAACATTTGTGGGCAGGTGTTTGTGCGAACGTAAGTTTTCTTTTCTCTGGGACAGATGCCCGGGAGTGCAACTGCTGGATGGTATGGTAGTTGTGGGTTTAATTGTTTTAAGAAATTGCCAGACTGTTTTCCAGAGTGCTGTGTTAGTTTGCCAGGCCTTCCATAACAAAATTCCACAGACTGGCTGCCTCAAACAACGGAACCTATAATTTTCACACAGTTCTAGAGGCTAGAAGTCCGAGATCAAAGTTTCAGCAGTTTGGTTTCTCCTGAGGCCTCTCTCCTTGGCTTGCCTTCTCCACTGTGCCCTCACATAGCCTTTCCCTCTGTGCTCCTATCCCTGGCTCCTAGCTCCTCCTTTAACCACATCAGCCGTATTGGGTTAGGGTCTCACTCATTTTAACTCAATCAGTTCTTCAAAGAGCTTATCTACAAAAAATTTGGTTACATTCTAAGATGTGGAGGTTGGGCCTTCAACATATAAATTTGGGGGCACGATTCAGTCCGTAACAGTGGCTGTACCGTTTTACATTTCCACCTGTCATGTGAGTGATCCAGCATTTGTTACCGGCACCATTTTTTTATTTTAACCATTCCTACAGGTAGGATAGCGGTATTGTGATCTTAATTTGCATTTACCTAATGGCTTATGATATTGAACATCTTTTCATGCGCTTATTTGCCATCTGTATTTCCTCTCAGGTGACATGTGTCTTCAGATCTTTTGCCTATTTTCTAGATGGATTATTTGGGTTTTTTTACTATTGAGTTTTAAGAGTTCTTTTTTAATATTCTTAGATACTAGGCCTTTTGGGGTGAGTGGTTTGCCAGTATTTTCTTCCAGTCTGTATCTTTTCTGGTCATTCTCTTAACAGGATTTTTCTCAGAGCAAAAGTTTTAATTTAGATGGAGTCCAGCTTATCTGTTTTTCTTTTTGTAGATTATGCTCTTGGTGTCATGTCTAAGAACTTTTTCCCTGGCCCTAGATCCTGAAGATATGTTTTTTCCTTAATGTTTTTCATGTAAGTCCCTGGTCTATTTTAAGTTTGTTTTACTATAAGGTGGGAACAATCTTGTTTATATCTATTAAAAAAAATCTTGTTAGGATTTTGATTGGAATAGTGTTAAACTTGTATTTTGGGGTGAGTCGGGTTTTTTAAATTATTATTATATTGAGTCTTCTAGTCTATGAACATAGGTGTGTCTCCGTTTATTTAGCTCTTTGATTTCTTTCATCAGTGTTTGTAGTTTTCAGTGTACAAGTCCCATACGTGTTTTGTTAGATTTACACTTTTTTTTTTTTTCGTATGCGGGCCTCTCACTGTTGTGGCCTCTCCCGTTGCGGAGCACAGGCTCCGGACGCGCAGGCTCAGCGGCCATGGCTCACGGGCCCAGCCGCTCCGTTGCATGTGGGATCCTCCCGGACTGGGGCACGAACCCGTGTCCCTTGCATCGGCAGGCGGACTCTCAACCACTGCGCCACCAGGGAAACCCCCAGATTTACACTTAAGTAATTTGTTTTAGTGACTGTAAGTGATATTTTAAATTTCATTGTTTACTTGTTCATTGCTAGTACATAGAAATATAATTGATTTTTGTATGTTTATCTTATATCCTGTGACCTTACTGAACTCATTCATTTATTTTAGGAGGTTTTTGGTAGATTATTTGGGATTTTCTACATAGATAATCATATCTGCAAATAGGCACAGTTTTATTTCTTCCTTTACAGTGTGTATGCATTTTGTTTTCTCTTGCCGCACTGTCTGGGACTTCAGCACTATGTGGAATAAGAGTAGTGAGAGCAGATGCTCTTGCCTTTTGCCCTCAGTCCTGATGGACAAGCATTCAGTCTTCTTTTTAAAGAAGCTCTTTGTTACAAAGTGCAAATAGAGACACTGGCATTAAGAAAATGGATTTTCTTATGATTTTGAGAGACTGTGGGCCAACTGTCTGCTACCTAAAAAAAGATACAAAGCCAGACAGTCTTGATGGTCTGTTATATGCACCGCCTTGGCTATCTCAGAATTCAGCCACTGGAACCCCAGTACCCAGATAGAACCTCTCAAACCACTTGTAGTTGTGTGTGTGTGTGTGTGTGTGTGTGTGTGTGTGTGTGTGTGTGTGT